ACATGTCAGCCAATCATTTGCTCCGACAAAACAAATTTCATGATATTAATCGTTGCATGACCAATATCTTATACATAATATGCGGATGTAATACTGTCTATCGATATTGATATCTTTGTATACATGTAATCAATCTCGTTATGGAAGTTCATATATTTTGAAAACGGTTGATCACAATTCTCTTAAATCCTAATCCGATGGTCATGTTAAAATTTTTAATAAAAATTACGATTTTTATTATTCAGTAATTTAACCTTTACATTTTTTACTCAAAATTTTAAACGCGTGGAAAATCTTAATCTGAATCGCCACGATATCGTGTAACAACCGCGTACTATCGCCCATTAGCTGCCTTTGAGAGATAAAATTGAGCATAACAATTTTTTTCATTGAACTTAAAAGTCGGATAAAGAATTTCAATATTAGTAAACCGAAAATGTGACGCAAAAAAATTTGATGCTTTGGATAAATATTCTATATTTATAAACTTAAAACAGCTTTTATTTAGTCAAAAAAAAAACATTAAATTAAAGAACCAATTTATTATAAATTAAAGGGAAATTCATTAAATAAGATTAAAGAGAATACTTGATGCATTAATTGGTTTTTTTTTTCCTAGTTCACATCATATAATCCTTTTCTTTTTTTTAAAAAAAATATTCTAATACATATTTTCACTCGTTTCTTGTGGTGATGATGGTTGAGACATAGGTTTTGGAATTACTCTTAGACCGTTTATTGCTTTTTCAACAAAGTAATATGCAGATTCACCATGATCAGATTCGTCCGTACCGATTTCTTCACTGTTATAATCTAAACGTAGTCTAAGAAATGGAATCTGATTCAAAATTAAAAGAATGATATAAGTCATGGCAAAAGAATACACAAGACCTGCTCCACATGATGATAATTGTTTGGCCAGTTGGATGTAATTATGATTTATAACTCCTCCCATAATATCTTCACCACTAAGTGCTGCAATATTTTTATCAGCAAATACACCAGTGAGAATATTCCCAACCAATCCTCCAATACCATGAACGGCAAAGACATCCAAAGCATCATCGAATCCAAAAATATGTTTCAATTTAACAGCCATATTACAAATAGCTCCACCGCAAACACCAAAAACAATAGCAGAATAAGGCGCCACATAACCTGATCCTGGTGTTATTGCAACTAAACCAGCGACGGCTCCTGAACAGAACCCAAGTGCTGATAGCTTTTGGTCCATTCGGTAATCTATTATCATCCATGTGAGTCCACCTGACGACGCTGCCAAATTGGTTACTGTGCATGCAAGAATAGCACGAATCTACGATAAAAATATAAAGTACATATGTACGTACGTACATCGATTATATAATTTTCAATTATATCATTTTAATATGATAATTATTCAAATAATTGAAATATGTTCTTACATTCGCCGTCGTTGCAGAACCACCGTTAAAACCGAACCACCCAAACCAGAGAAAAGTTGTACCAAGAACTACATAAGTGATGTTATGTGGCTTGAATTCAAAAGAAAAAAAAAAAGAGAGAAGAAACCACTTATTTTACAAGATCCCAGTTTTAATTACCAAATCTCTATA